CTTCTCAAAAGAAGACATTTATGCAGCCAACAAACATGAAAAAATGCTCATCATCACTGGTCATTAGAGAAATGCAAATCAAAACCACAATGAGATACCATCTCATGCCAGTTAGAATAGCATTCATTAAAAAAATCAGGAGACAACAGATACTGGAGAGGATGTGCAGAAACAGGTACACTTTTTCACTGTTGGTGGGAGTGTAAATTAGTTCCACCATTGTGGAAGACAGTGTAGCGATTTCTCAAGGATCTAGAACTAGAAATATAATTGGACCCAGCAATCCCATTACTGGGTATATACCCGAAGGATAAATTATTCTATTATAAAGACACATGCACATACCTGTTTATTGCAGCACTAGTCCCAACAGCAAATACTTGGAACCAACCCAAATGCTCATCAATTATAGACTCGATAAAGAAAAGATGGCATGTATACACCATGAAATACTCTATAGCCATAAAAAAGGATGAGTTCATGTCCTTTGCAGGGACATGGATGAAGGTGGAAACCATCATTCTCAGCATACTGACACAAGAAAACAAAACCAAACACACACTGTATGTTCTCACTCATAAGTGGGTGTTGTACATTGAGAACACATGAACACAGAAAGGGGAACATCACATTCTGGGGCCTGTGGGGCGATTGGGGAGGGATGGCATTAGGAGAAATACCTAACGTAGATGGCAGGGGGAATGGATGCAGTAAACCACCATGGCATGTTTATACTTAAGTAACAAACCTGCATGTTCTGCACATATACCCCAGAACTTACAGTATAATAAAAAAAGAGATAACTCCAGGAAATATATTTTTTGAAAACATATTGAAATATTCTATCAGGATTTCTCTCCACTACAGTTGTCGACTACAATGCTTTGTCTAACACAGCATGATGGAAGTCTTTCTTAAACATCTTGCATTCTCTTATCATGGTAATTGTTTCATTCAAATTACTCATAATAAATGTTAATATCTATTTTGCCTCTATATTTGAATCACTTACATATGTTCCTTTATTCATTGTATCAGCAGAATCCTTTGATTCTATTACATATTAGCACTTAATTGTCAAATGAGTATTAAGCTATAATTAAATCATAGCCACAGGTTTTCATCTGTGGTTTATTTATATAGTAATGAAGTAAAAGTACAGAAAGGCCTTAATAAAATACCATGTCTTTTTCCTATGAAGAAACCTAAAATATGTATTTTTTGCTACATTGACTATCACAGCAAGGCAGATTGATCATTTACTAAACAGTATAGAAGGATATAAAGTCCTTATCCTCAGATAGTTTTTAATATCGGATCAGATATCATGGATGAAATGTAGAATGAAATTGTATGTAAAATTCTGCATTGTTGAAGATTCAAAGTCATTTCAGACATAGTATTGCAAAGAATTTCAAACTCAAGTATGAATTGTAATTGTATGTAGAATACTGTAAGTGGTATAATGGCATATGCAATACAGTAACAACATATATACCACAAGATCAAAGAAAAAAAGGAAAACTTTTTTTTTTTTTTTGAGATAAAGGCTCACTCTTTTCACCCAGGGTGGAGTGCAGTGGCACAATCTTGGCTACCTGCAACCACTGCCTCCTGGGTACAAGCTATTCTCTTGCCTCAGCCTCCCAAGGAGCTGGGATTACAGGCATGCACCACCACACCCAACTAATTTTGGTACTTTCAGTAGAAAGGGGGTTTCACCATGTTGGCAGGCTCATCTCAAACTCCTGACCTCCGATGATCCACCAGTCTTGCCCTCTCAAAGTGCTGATTACAGGCATAAGCCACTGCACGCAGCCAAAAACAATTTTTGTTTTGAAAATCAACTAAGATTTTTTGTGAGTCATGGGCCAGATTTCAACAGGTGACAATAGAATAAATGAATTCTTGGTAGAGAGAAGACAGTGGACTGTGAATTAAGAGCTCAGGGATGTGATTCTGAGATCAGGGAAGAGTTTCAGAACCAATGGATTATATGGTTTATAAGATGATATTGAAGAGCCATATCAATTTTAGAATTTGGACAGTGAACAGCATCACTGCCTTGGCAGAAAAGAAAGATATGATCAAGTTCATTCATGCAGCACAAACCTAGGTAGGTACAAGAATTTTATGTTGGAAAGAATCAATATATAACAGCCCCTTTAATCTCACAATGTACCTTCCATCTGAAGCCAAGAACATAGTATTTTCTCTTTCTAAGGACTCCATATCAATGAATTTTTTTATTAATAAAATGACTTTTTTATATGAGTGGAGCTACAGTTTGGATCTCAGAAACAGGGAATTAGGCATTGCCATATAGCCAAATAGAATCTAAAGCAGCCCCTAAATGGATGGGAGAGCCAAAGAACACCATTATGACTATACTGAAGCAAGCTGCTCATCAGAAAGCCTGAGTACTTCAAAGTTTACTCCAGCTATGAGCCCTCCATACCTCATGCTTGAATTCTAAGGCTGTCACCTGCAAGCCTTACCTGTATTAAATGGATACTTGCTGCAGCTATTCCCTCAAACCTACATCAATTGAAAGAGACAACCAATTCCCATGTTTATATACCATGAATATATATGTTTTAGATTCATCTAGCTGTAAGCCAGCTTGCAATACAGTGTGTATGCAATAGAATTCTGTAGTTCAATTGCAAAAGCCAGAGATATGGCATGGTATAAGTAGGACCCTGCAAACCACCAGTGCTAAATAACACTACTTACTTCCTGTGCTTAACACTGAATTCACCATTCACAAAATGTTACAGTCATTGATCAACCCCACATGAGCCCTCTTCTCCACATGTCTGTTAGATTTTCATATCTTCCTCCTTAATTATGTATGCCTTAAGGTTTCTTAGCCAAAACACCAGCTCCTAATATTTCTTCAAGGTGAACTCAACTCCAAATCTACAGACTTAAACCAGTCTCAGAGGTTGCCCCTCTGTTACTTTTGGCATTTTCAAAGCTTGAGGATGCCATTCATCTGCAAGCATACTAGCTCTTGAAAAGTTGTAAGGAAAAGGCACTGAACTGCAGAAGCCCCTTTCCTCTCCCCCTCAATCAATATAAGGAATCATCTCTCATCCCCAGAGGAGAAGTAAGAGAGCCTCAAGTGTGTAACACAAAACAAGAAGAAATGAGACCCAACATCCATACCCAAAAATGTATTTCCATGAGTTTTGTTGTGTTGTTTGCTTAGTTTTGTGCACCTGTTGCTTTCACATCAGAAAAACAAATCATCTTAAAAAATAGATTCATTTCTTTCTCTTTGCTTTCCTGTTACTTAACACAGAAGTAACTATAGGGTAATATATTTCAACATTTGACATCAATAAACACAAGCTGTAATCATGCTTTTTAACTTTGAATACTGCTAATAAATGCAGCCATTCATTTGTTTTATAATGTTTTTGAACATTATAAAACACATTTATTGAATAACTGTGTTATGTAGAAGGTGTAGGTGCAGGGTTAAACATGGTAGGAATTATTAACAGTTTAAAATGATTCTATCTTTGAGAAGGATATAGTTTAGCAGGGAAAGTAAGATATGAACGTGGCTATAAGATACTATATTATGCGATCAGCAGAATACGATATTTAAAATAATAAATTGCTATGGGAGAGTCAAGTAGGAAGACTTTTTCTATCTTGGAGCACAAGAGAAAGGTATATGGAGGAGAAAACAGATGAACTGGACTCTGATGGAAGGTGTGTTTGTAACCTAGATGGGAGAGATGTGTCCAGGGTGAAGAAAGTGCAGCATGTAATTCATGCACTTCACAATTCTATGCCTTATTCCATCAGGATGAACTAAAGACAGCCCCTATCTTCATAGATCTTATTGTAAGTAGAAGAAACAAACAATGAATGACTACAAATGTAACATAATGTTACAAAGGGATTTTTACTATAGAGAAAAGTATACCTGTTAAAGAGAGAAGAAAGATTAGTAGTATTTTAATAGTGTTTAGAAAAGTTATTTCCCAGGCAGTGATCTTTGAGAGAACTGAAGCAAGTTTTTTTTGCATCCCAATTAACATAAAATATAAACTTTTGGTAATTGAATTCCTTTTCTGGCTTAATTGTAATATGGAATAGAATCTTATAGTTCAGAAATTTAAATAGCATCAAAAAGGTGGAAATATGTAAAATTCATATTTTACAGCCACCCAGTTAATATTTCACCCCACTCATTAAGTCTCTGAAGAAATGTATTTCAGTTTGAGGAAATGGTAAAAATGCTGTGAGGCTATAGTACTTTTGCTGTATTTGAGAAGATGCAAGAAGTGGAGCAAGAGGAAGAATTACTGGAAATTATGTTAGAGAGACAGGCCAGATCATATAGGTAGAGACTTTGTGCCACTGAAAGACATCAGAATCCAGTTGAAGTGTGTGGGATAACATCAGAGAATTGTGGGCACTGTAACAAGATGATTTGCATTTCCTAAAATTTCACTCTAGGAATATGTAAAACCAATGATAGGAGGACAAGAATGGGCAGCCAGGAGGCCAGGTAAGGGACCTATACAGTAGTCCTAGTACAAAACAAGATGATAGAGGGCAAAGATGGAATATTCTGTTACTCCAGTCAATTTAGGATGCCCTTTAGGAAATCATTAGCTATAATAACAACGGAAACAAGAAACAGCTAGAGAGAGCTGTTTCTTTGATCATTGAAATTCAAGATCCATTTTTCTTTTTTCTGGAACTTTCCCATGTATGTCAGAACCATATGATCACTGTCCCTCAAAGTGGTGAGTCCATGATTTAGAATAAAACAGTTTCCAAGTTAGAAGATTTAGCAAAGTAGGTATTGAACATAGGTAATATGTTTCATGGAGACTTCAAATCTAATTATAGACATTGATTATTTATTGTTCACTGTGCTGATTGGCTACTGTATTAGTTTGTTTTTATACTGCTGATAAAGACATACTTGAGATTGGGTAATTGATAAAGAAAAAGATGTTTAATAGACTCACAGTTCCACATAGCTGGGGAGGCCTCACAATCATGGCAGAAGGCAAAAGGTACATCTTCCATGGTGGCAGGCAAGCAGAAAGCAAAAGGTACATCTTACATGGTAGCTGGCAAGAGAATGAGAGAACCAAGTGAAAGGGGTTTCTCCTTATGAAATCATCAGATCTTGTGAGACTCTCACTACCAGAAGAACAGTATGGGGCAAACTGCCCCCATGATTTAATTATCTCCCACTGGGTCCCTCCCACAACACATGGGAATTATGGAACCTCAATTCAAGATGAGATTTGGGAGAGGACACAGCCAAATCATATAAGCTATTTAGTATATCCTTTAGATTAAGAATCCATACACTTTAATGAGTATTAAAAAATAGACCAAAAGTTTTTTTTAATTAATTGGCCCCTGTCAGTATTGTCATCTCCATGGACATCCTTATTTCTTCGCGTATTTTTTACACTGGGCATGGTTAAGAAGTTAAATTGAGAGACTGTCAAAATCATTAATTTTCTGTCATGTTTAAATAACTGGTTGGCCCCTTAAGCAGATTGTATGATACTGCTTTTCAGATTGAGGCTTTCTGTCAGAATGTACCATCTCCCAAAGGAAAAGATAGCTGCAGAGCTTTGGGGCTATACTGTAGGAATGTAATTTGTTTGTTCAACAAAGCATGGCAGCTAAACCCTAGAATTATTTGTTGTGTGACTTCCTTACTAAACCATGTTGAAGAGGGACATAGATTACTGGATGCTGTGAGGAATGCAGATTACTAAAATGAATTAAAATGCAATTTGTTTTTTCCCATAGATATTTTTAAATGCAAAGACAATCCGGCTGGGAAATCTACCAACCGGCTCCTTCCCATCTTCTTCACCCAGCTCCTCGAGTTCTCGACAGACAGTGTATGAACTCTGTGTCTGTCCCAATGGCAAACTTTACCTTTCTCCAGCAGGAGTAGGTTCCACTTGTCAGTCCAGCAGCAACATCTGCTTGTGGAGCTGAAGTGACTGATTTCTCCTTACACCAGAATAGCCTTTTGTTCCTGTCCGTCTGCTTCACAGTTCTGCTCGGTTTCCCTTGTGATCAGTCCAGAGCTTCTTTGAATGGTCCACAGAGCAACTTCCAGTGTGAGCAGGAATTCGCCACCACTTTCTCTTGTGATTTACTATACTGCTCAACACAGAGAGTGTGAGTGACACAGCAGTGGAAAAAGCATCGTCAACAGGAAAACTGGATCATGACTTTTGCTCAAAAGGGAGAATAACATAGGTGCCTTTGCTACATGAAGTGAAGCACACAGTTTTAGATTTTTGCAGGACTTGGATATGAACTGCACATATATACATTACATAAATGAAATTCCCAGTATCCAATGGCGAGATGAAATGGTTAACCCTGTAAGAAAACTTATTCTACAGTCTGAAAGCACAATTTTCCATTCATCTTTTTGGATGTAAACTTTTATCCCCTACTTTTAGAATTTTGAAGCATTATGTAATGCTTGCTTTACTAAAAATTAAATTCAATACATGGTTTTTAACAAAACAAAACAATACAGAATCTCTCCCTGAGTTTTCATTTTGTTTCTTTATAATTTCAGTGTGTTGTTACTCTGTCTACTAAGTCTAGAATTTTGTACATTAGGTGATTTTGAAAGCACTCAGCAATATAATCTTTACAGAATTAACAAAATGCCATTTTAATATCATTTGTCAAATCTGGATGGCCTTATATAGTATTTACATGTATTTGCATGTGATATATTTGCTTTTCACAAAACATCTAATTGATTGCAATATAAGATAGGACTAAGAAGGACATGCTGATGGTATGAAATGCGTAGATCATTTTTTAAAAATTCACATGCTATCCTTTACACCTAGCTTTTAACAGTATAATTTGTGTTTGCTCTATTCAATTTACATTGATTCTGACTGCTAAAATTCAAACATCCTCCAAATAAATAATACTAATTTGATGCGTAATGCTGAGAATAAATTCACTTCCATTGGGATATCATCTTCAAAATTATTATCTATTTTTTATTGTAAGTTAAGATTTGAAGACATTAGAAGTTAACTTAAAAATTCTTGACTAACACACACAGTGTCTTTCAGTAATACATATTTCATTTTTATTTGAAAACCTCCAACATTTTTTCATATGGATATAGCAGTATGAGTCCCACCAGAAGATTTACTGTATGATTATATATACTTTTTTCTACTAATATCAAAGCTGATCCACAAAAAAAACAGAAATCACTAACCTGTGAAGTCATATCATTGCCAATGCTGTTACACTCTCTAGTAGCCAGAGCCAGAACTAGATTAAAAAAAAAAATTATTGATTAAACAGTAAAAATGACAAATGCTAATAAACATACTGAAAATGTGTTTACTACATTAGATTCATACTTTCAGGAATTTAGTCACATTTCTATTCAGCTTTTAACATATATTTACTTTTATTAGATTGTTAAGCTACTGTGACATCAAAAATTATAGTTCTTTTCATTCTCCACTGCTTACTTTTATATATGACCTCTTAATAACTTTAGAATACTACAGATTCATTTATCACAATACCCCTTAACTCAGATTCTTGAAACTTACAGAATCAAAGGATGTAAAACTATATTAAGTATTCCTATTATGGGAAGATGATTGAATTACTGTTACTTTAAGGTAAGTCCTGAATTTTCACATGCCAGTCAACTTTTTGCTCCCCCATGCACACCACCAACCAGCATGTTGAAACTACATTTTGGAAATTAATGGCTATAGAGTCTTTGGACTTCAGGTCTCTACAGCTCAGAGTGAATTGGGAAATTAGAACTTGTTGAAAACATGTGGTTAATGAAAAGAGAAATACTGGCAATGCAAGAAGAAAAGTGATTAACATTTTACCAGAATGAGCTTGTTTGTGTGACCTAGCATATCAAAAAACTGAAGAAGCCCATTTCCAGTGTACTCAGCAGAAGGGTTCAAGGCTAATTTGTTATTTTAAAATAAAATTTGACTTGTGTTTGGATGTTATTATATCTCTTTAAATCAATATTGAAATAAGAATTATACAGTTGTTTACAAAGTTATCTCATAACACAAAAGTTTAATTCATATTAAGAGAATTTAATACAAGAAATCTCACATTGGTCTTTGCAAAATAAAGTATAACAAGAAATGTTGAGAAATTATGTGTGCTAATCACTATATTATGGAATTTTAAGGAAACATATAGTAATTTGAGACATATTCAAGTTCTAATTATCCTTCTATTAAAACAATTAGAAACTTTCTGATTCAAATGGGAATAATTCTTTTGATTAGGAACTGGCCCTGTTTCTAATTTCAGCTGTCTTCTACATCAATTGAGCTGTGTTAGGCAGTTTGAAAATTTCTCCAGGCTTCAGTTTACCCAAATTTATAGCAAAAGTATTGAATAAATAGTGTCTTGAGGTTCCTTACTATTCCAACTTGTTCTAATTTCAAGTACATATATTACAGAAGGCAAAAGAGAAAAGTGAAAACTTAAATTATGTCACAAGAGGAGAAAAGATGAAAAACTGGGAAAACAAGATGTAAAAACCAATTCCAGAGAGGGGGCTGTCAAATTTTTAATCCAAATATATTCTGAAAAGTATAGACACAATTCAAAAGTAACTTACAAGCTTGAGAGATTTAGACTGTATCCAGATGATATAAAAATCTGTTTAATTTAGTAGAAAAAACAGTGATAGAGATGGCTTTCCCGTTCAACATCAAATAATTGCTTTAAGCTATTTAACTAGCTGTTTCAGATTTCTGAGTCTAAAAGAATACCCCTGCCTCAAAGATCAAGCCTATAGTGAAGGCTTAGAAGAATGTCCCCAAAAGTCCTCAATTTCCACATTCAAAAAAAAAAATAAAGACTTAAAAAAAAATAGCAGTGGTCCCATAATGGCAGGCTACCCAGATTCATTATCTGTTTTCCCAGTACTATCTTTATGTTACAACATGTACAAATATAATCCAGTTTACTTATGGTATAAGTATTGTCTTCCCCAAATGACACTGAGAACTTTAATGTGTACTACATTGACATGACTCAGCTATGTTATTACCCATATCTTAATAACTTCATACTCAGTTTAGCACAGGAAGGAAGCAAGGAAAGAAGAAAAAGAGGTTGGTAGTATTGCTAGCCTTTAAGTTTTTTGCCAGGAATGCATAAACTGAGATGTATTTGAGTTTAGGTTTGGGGGATCAAAAGAAAAGATGCAAAGAGGACACATTATTCTTTTCTTTTTCAGAATATTTCAATTAAAAAACTTCAAAAAAGAACAACAAAAAGAAGCAAGAACAACAAGAACTTCCAAATTTTCCACTTCTTTTGTTCAACATTTCCAAAATTTCTATCCAGTACTTACTTAGTCCTATATATATACTTTTTTAATTGTAAATGATATTCTTTATAATTTGGCACATAATTATTTATCTAAGGGTTTAAGACACTTGTGCACTTCGAATTTTACTGTAACTTGGGAATCCCTAGATCACAGTACTTCAAATCTCAGAATATGCAGCCACCAATTCCAGTTCTAGTTCTGCCCCTACCTAGTCATGTGAACTCACTTAAGACATATATTTAATTATGTTGGTCACAGTTCACTTATCTGTGAGGGCGTATATCAACTTAGACATTTTCTTTGGTCACTTTGATTTTTAAATTTTTCTGATTCATTTAAGGAAGTACTCCTGAATCTTAGGTTAAGCAGCCATCTGAACTCGCGTTTGTAATCTCCTTCTGCACCTTAAAAAGCTGCTTCTAAGTGTTGAAATACAAATCCTTTTCGCAACCTACTTCCTATGCTCTTTTTTATATTCCCTTTTTTGCTCTTACCATTTGAACATTAAAGTTCCTTTGGAAAAATCATGCTCTGTTCACAGGATTTAACAATACGGTTAATGTTAAGAAGGAAAATAATGCATATGAGTTTGATTCAAAATGACTTAGGCAATTAATAGAAATATTAACCAAATATAAATATCCTGTTGATCTTTCTATTATCTCCTTAAAGCTAAAAAGCATTAATCTTTTGAAGAAATGATAGTATGATCACAGAGATTAATTGTTGGATTGCTTATGTTATTCCATTCAAAATTCCTACATATTCTATCTGAATGACAACTGAAGAATGCCTCATTTTACAAAAAAATGGCATTTGATACAATAAAACTCCTGATATATCATTTCACTGCAAATGGTATCTATGTATAAGGCCCCAATAGCCTAGAGAGTGTCTAATGAATATGAGTGTTATATTACACAGCAAATAATGTCAATATAATGTTAAATTATGAAAATCATTGAAAGTATTTAGTGGCCAAATTTTCTATGAAACCATCAAAGCCAAATTCATATTTGAGTTTTATATGAATGAGACCTTGTCACCAAACTCTTCCAGTAGCTGTGGTCTAATAAGAATTGTTCATGTGATCATATTTAATGAAATATGGAGAAAATATTTTCTGTATATACTGGTGTATATTACAGTAATGAACACTGCGAAATGTCACAAAGGAAACTTGCATTTGTATTTTCAACAATCATAATCAATAACTTAATTCAACACTGTTATTCATGTTGTTTTATACTGCAATGCATTAGTTGTTTAAATGTCAAAGACCAAAGACTAGGAGTTCTATTGTATTTAACTCTAAAACTCTGCTGCTCCTACAAATTTATTCAAATGAATGGGGGGTGGCTTATAATTATAACATGAGTTAGAAAACATTCTTCTTGGAGGATTCTGAGCTGTAGAAATTAATGAATGCTTTTGTTTCAAAAGGGAAACATCATTAGTGTGGTCTACATTTCTTTTATACAGACATAACAAACTCCTTGGTATTAATAAAACCAATATATAAAGACCATATTCCAAAATGGGCCCAGTATGGATTTACTTAGCCAAGTTTAAACTTTCACTGCTTGCTGAACATTATTTGGAGAATATAATTAATATAATTAATTTGAAATGCTCGTAGAATCAGAGGGCTATTTTTTAAGTGTTAACTGATATGGCTCTTCTCTTTGAGAAAGCCAATGAAAAACATTAAATGAAATGAGGTATAATGAACTGTGTTTTTTTTTTCTTTTCAGTCTTAATATCTCATTTGTTTGAATTTTTATATATAAAAGCCAAACAGGGTTAAAGATGGGCAAGGACATTCATTAACAATGGAGATATGTAATTTGGAGTTTGAGTGTCTTGTTATTTATACAATTCTTTAAATCAGGTCCACTATTCATTTATTTTGTTTTGTACTTTCATGTAAATGTTTTCTTGTATATATAGATATATAAAAATGAAACTATTTTCTTACACGTACTATGCAACATGTTTGTAAAATTGCAATATTACCAAAATTACAAAAGCTGTGCTTTTGTACTCTATCTTGCTTTATGTAAAATCACTTTTTCTATTTAAATGGACTGTCCTATAAACTGTAGATAAGATATCTATTCAAAAATCAGTCTATTGTATCTTTTGTTTAGATTGAAGTGAATTGGGGTATATTTTGGGGGAGAGAAAAATGCAGCAAAGTTTTGGCAGTTAGAAACCTTTTTTTTCTCTGAAATGAGACTTTTTGAAGCATGCAATGAGCTCATATAATTTAAGATCTCTCCTGTGATTCTTGTAATTTGTCCTAATTTTGGTGCTACTATGTAATCATGATTAAATGTGATAGTCAAAACAAAGAGGATCTATACATGCGATCGTTTATTTTACTGAGTTTTTAAAAACAGCTCAAAGAAGAGTATTAATAGTGAGTGGATAACTTTTCAGTTCTGTATTTTAAAAATCAATTCTATTAAGATGTATGTTTTAAAAATATTAAGCTTAATCCATATACTTATACTGGATAAAAATGCTTCTCTTATGAAAACCTGGTCATATTTTCCCTTGTAAATATATGACCAATAAAACTGAAGAATTCAAATCAATTAAATGATAAAAATCACTACACTTTATTCAACAATAAGCTAATAGTTTATTCATCATAGAGGCCCTCTGATTTGATTTTTGAGACCAAAAAAACTACTATGTGCACAAACTTACAACCCTGCATATACATATATCACATTACACACAAATATACACATATATGCAATGAAGAATATAAGCAGATGCTAATCAGCATTACTTATTTGATGTATTTCTTCATTTCCTTGTTACATTCACTGTATCTTAATCCAGGAGGATTTGAAGTAATTGCATGGACTTTCTAACTTTTAGCATATATCCAGTCCAATGCTGTACACACCTTGAGACAGACATTGTGCCACATTGTTTCCAAAACAAAACAGTGTTCACAGGAAGTTCCCCCAGACCAAGAGTCACTATTACTTTTTTTTTCCCCTTGCTGTCCAAGTGTCTCTACACAGTTCCAGGTATTATTTAGAAACAGAAAACTGAACTGTTTACATTCTTCATGAAGACTTCCAAATGTTAATTCTAAACAGAAGACAAATGAGTGCTTTCAGCTCAGGGAAGCATATACATTTTGGAACCAGAAAGTCTGGGATGGTTTGGATATGTGTGCAACCAGATACTTGCGTACTTATTTCCAGCAGATTCTTAGGCCATTTACCAACCATACTAATAACTGGATTTGCTACCCTCTTTTAATAGTGGGGCAAATAAGGAAATACGTTTTTCTCTATACTCACACTAAACACTGTGATCAGACGTGTAGTTTTCCCCCACAGTAACCAACACTCCCATGACAGTTGCATGTCCTACAATTTAATTACATTTCCACACCAACTGAAGCTGGCAAGGATGTCATAGGTGAAGGGCTCAATTCCACAGGATTTCTCCCATTCCAGACCCCAGTCACAAGTAATAGGACCCCAGGTTACCCAGAATTTCTGTCTTAATGGGCTACAAATCCCATGATCCCTTCTTGGGTTTGAAAATATGCTAGAGTGGCTCAGAGAACTGAGAAAAGCAGTTTATTTACTACTGCTGATTTATTACAGAGAGTATT